TTTTTTTTTTTTTTTTTTAAATAATCAGTGATAAGTAACGTGCATTCATTGTTTTATGTTAATGTCATACAGTGAGTATTAGTGTGTGTTTATTTGTTCTATGTATATTATCTGACACACACTTTTGTATACATTTCTGTTTGAGTATGAAGGCACGGTGGCTTGGCTGCTTCTTCAGTTGGCAGTTATCAGCCAACTCAACCTTTTGTATTTTTCATTTATTCTTTTGAGTAGGATTAAAGTCACAAAGCACTTCACATCTTATTATTAGTGTACTCTTACTAATGTAGTTGTAATGTCTGTGCTGACCGTACTGTGTTTAGTTAGGTTGCATTGTTCCAGTGAGGTTACGTTAACTGTTGTAAGATAGGCTATGACAAGTGGCAACACCCTGGTTAAGGTCTTTGATAGAACAGCTGTTGGTGTTGGTAGCTGTTTTTGTTTAGAAATGTCGTATTGTCATTGTATTGATCATTGTTAACATGTAGATTGCACTAAACTAACATTAGTTACTGAAACGGCATCTGCTGCCAGGGCAACAGTAAACATTCATGTTGTGGGCTGGGGGGACGAAAGCAGGGTGCAGCATTTTATACATTGTAAATAGACCAGAAGTCAGTACCATCCAACACACGTAGAACTGAGTTCACAAATGCCTGTTCGAAAATTGTAAATGTTAGAAATAAATATTCACAAATGCTTTTCATTTATTTGCAAATTAATTTAATGTATTCACAGATTATTTTTTTTTATTTGTGGAATGTGTTTGTGTATTTGCAGATCCATTTTATACTTGCAAAAATATTTTTGTGAGTTTACAAATCTTTTTTTGTATTTGTGGAAGGTGTTATATATTTACAGATTACACATTTACATGCAGATTGTCGATCTGTTCACATACATAATTATGGAACAAATCTTATCTCCATAGAAATTTGGCACAGTGGTAGAGGGTCATGGGAGGATACGAATGAAGCAATATTACATCAGTTGGCCAAAGGGGGGCGCTATAGCAACCGATTGAAATTGCAAACTTTGAATGGGCATATCTCATGCCCTGTATGTCGTAGAGACATGAAACTTTGCACAGAGATGCCTCTCCTCATGAGGAACAAATATGCCTCAAGAAGCCGTACCTTCCAGTTGTATAGATTTTCCGCCATTTCGAATTTTTTTAAAAACACTTAAAATTGATCTCTTCCTAGGAAGTTTGACCAATCTGCATGAAACTCGGTGAACATAATCCAGGGACCAATATCTAAAGTTCCTTCTTGGCAAAAGTTGGAAAACTTACTAAAACTGAGCTTCTATAAGGCAATGAATATTGCGGAGGGCGTGGCTCATCACATAAAGGTGTATAACATCTCAAGGGTTTCACCGATCACCACGCAACTTTGTAGACATATGACCACACATATTCTGAGGGGACCCCTCCATTATTGACCCCATCAAACAAAATGGGGGCGCTAGAGAGCTACTTTCTTATCTAGGCCTAACCGCCACATCGATTTTTACTAAACTTGGTAGATATGTAAAAGAGGATGCCTCAAGGTGACTGGAGAAATTTAACTCTAATTGGCAACTAGGTGGCGCTATAACAACAGAAAAATGCTTAAAAATGGCTAAAATGTGCCCGATCACTGTGGCTCCCCCTGTGGCCGAATGTTTTGTTGTTGTTTTTCTAATTTTTGGTATGACTAAGTCATGGTATGGTATGCTGTACATAATCACGGAAACTGTCAGTGTGTCATTCTGTCAGTCAGTCATTCTGTCTGTCCCACGTTTTTCTACTCACTGATGTGGTCAATCTATGTAAAACTGCCCATAGGCATTGAGGATTGGCATAGGTAGAAGGTGACAAAGCTGCCAATGGGTAGGGACTAGTATATATTAAGTCTAAGCAATAGGTCTTTCTTAATGAGATCTTGTCAGGACTATAGTAGGTTTGTGATGACATCATTTTTTATGGGATAGCACCAAAAAAAGTTAATGCAAATTTTGTAAGTCTGTCTGTCTGTCAGTTAAATGTAAATGTTTAGAATAAGCCAGAGTCACTTAAGCACTGTAAAAAGGCAGTTATTGGGATGGCTGGGATCTTTAATTATTCTCATGACCTTATTTTTGCAGTGTCTAGTATTGACAGCCTTTATGCAGGGTAGAGCAGTGCCTATGGTGTGCTCAGCTGAATGAACCATTCTTTGCAGGGCCTTGCAGTCCTGTTCGGTGCTGTCTCTGTACAAGGTAGGAGTAGAAATTCCTCAGCATTTGAGAGGATACCTGGAATTTCCACAGGTGTCTCAGGTAAAACAATCTCTGCCTTGCTTTTCTGACCACTGAGTCTGTATGCAGTGCCCAGGTCAGGCTCCCAGTGATGTGGGCACCAAGGCATTTGAAGCTATCCACCCTCTCCACTGAGGACATGGTCATATTAAGGGGAGCGTAATTTCTTGGCTGCCTCTTCCCAAGGTCCACTATCGTCTCCTTAGTGTTGCTGATGTCCAGGAGTAAGTTATTGTCCTGACACCAGTAGGTAAGGCTCTTTACTTTGTTCAGGTAGGTCTTTTCATTGGTATCTGTGATCAGGCCCACCACAGCTGTGTCGTCAGCAAACTTAATGATGGTGCTGGAGTCAGAAGTGGCTACACAGTAGTGTGTGTAAAGTGTGTACAGCAGGAGACTCAAAACACAGCCCTGGGGTGCTCCAGTGTTAAGGATGAGGGTTTGGAGAGGTGTGTCTGCCCACTCTCATCACCTGGGGTTTTCCTGTTGTGAATTCTGAAGGAAACTATGGTGTTCGATGCTGTCTGAACTGTTGTCAAGGAACGGCAATCTCCCTCTCTTTTCCGGGTGAGACAGGATGGTGTGGAGGATGTGTAGTATGGCATCTTCTGTAGATCGGTTGGGACAGTAGTCAAACTGTAGTGGGTCCAGTGTGCTGGTTAGTGAGGAACAGATGTAATCCTTGACCAGTTGTTCAGAGCACTTCATCACTACAGAGGTGAAAGCCACTGGGTGGTAGTCATTCTGGCAGGTTGGTTTTGTTTTCTCGGCCACAGGAATGGTGGTGGACACTTAAAGCACGTGTGTATGATAGACTGAGCCAGTTACCGGTTGAATATTGTTGTGAAAACCGGGGAACATTGTTGTCAACATCCCCATAGTTTGAGGATTTAAATTTAATTTCATTTTATATATTTTATTAATCCCCCTGAGGGGAAATTCAATTTTTTCACTCTTTTTGTCATTAACACACAGGTCCGAAAGATACACACATGCACAAACAGGACCTATACATGCACAAAGTGGAGAGATGTCAGAGTGAGGGGGCTGCCTTGGTCAGGCGCCCCAGTTGTTTGGGGGGGGGGGGGTTGGTGCCTTGCTCAAGGGCACCTTGGCAGTGCCGGGTAGGTGAACTGGCACCTACTGGCAGCCACCAGTCCACGCCCACTTATACCATCTGGTCCTGCTGCTTTCTGGGTGTTTATATGCTTGAAAGCTTCAGCACTTGAAGGGGAGGGGGCTGTGGGCTTATCTGTCCTATTACTTAGACCTTGCCACATGCTTCTGGGATCACCTTCCTGGAATTGTAGTTCCACTTTCTTCCTGTAGTCCCTTTTTGCCTCTTTCACTGCTCTTTTACTTTGTAGACAGCCGCTTTATAATTTCATTGTTTATTACATCCTGGATGATTGTGGTAAGTGGTTTCTGATTGTTGAATGATTTAACTGTAGTTCAGGGGCGGATCTATGGACACAGGCCCACCCAGTAAGATTCATGAAAAAAAAAAAAAAATCATAATTCTTAACAAATTATCATAGAATCTGCTTTAAATGTTTAATTGACATTTCTGTTTTATTGAGAAAATTCAAAATTAAATAAAAATAAAAAAGAACTTCCTCTCTTGCGTCATTGACGATGTTATGCACACGTTTGAGTTCACGAGCGGTCAGATGGCGGGTGCCGAGGGTCATAGGCACTGTAGCAGGAAGCTGGACTCGTTTAGCAATGGCTAAACAGTTATCTTTGAGCCACTTTTTCAAAAAAACATGTCTACAGACAGAAGAAAGTTCGGGCAAGGCTGTGCTTAAAGAGGATGGTCGTCAGGAGAAGTTAATTGGCCCGGGGAATGAGGGAGAAAGAGCCACCAGGTCATCATCGCCATCCCCTGAGAGTCATGCTAGCCTTTGTGCTAACCCAGCTCCAGCTCCGACCCACCGACCGCCACTGGCCGCATCTGGTGAGCCAATCCGGACACCGTTGGATTTATCACCGATGGAGGAACCAGCCACTCAACCCAAGCTGATAGCATTCCCAGCTACTGTCATAGGTGGGAAATCGCGGTCATTTAATGCCAACTGGTATGGGAAGTACA